TCGCGAGCTGTCAAACGACTCATGGATAGCCAAGATCGGATGCAGTGAAGCGGAGATATGGGATGGAAAGTTGGTGGGGTTGTCTCAAAGCTCAACCTCGTAGACATCTGGAATGGCCCGTCACACAAGTCTTCATCCGCGATGCATCGTAGAAAGAAAACACGGTCCAAATCTGTACGGGTTTGTGAGGCGTCAGTTACATGTTCTTGTGGCAATACACGCTCTGCCCCACCTCCCGCGTCGTTCTCACTACACTGGTGAAGTAACCAATCAGGATGAAACTGACCTGCCCAGCACAATTCGCGCACCGAGACTTGGTGTCCTGGCTCGATGCACTTGTGGCCATGGCTGCATGCAACGGGGTCAAAGGTGACGCCAATTTGCTAACTGCTTTGGACACATTGTTGGATGGAATAGCGAACGCCATGTATTTACGCACTCGGAAGGCCAATTCCGGCTGTTCGTTCGCTGAGCTGAGGGCGGCATTGTGCGCAGCATTTGGGAAGGAAGACGATAGACAGTGAGCAATAGAGCAATTTCACTCAGCCATATAGAAGGAACAAGGGGACTTGATGGTGTTTTTCCAGCCGTTGCACATACATTCGGCGACTGGACGGTTGGGCAACGCAAAAAGCGGCTACGCAACCAGCAATTTGTTTTAAGCCTGTCGGACGCACTCCAAGACATGGTAAATTGTCAGCGATGGTTGGATAGACCAGGCAGGAGGATTTGGTGACGGTTGCCCAGCATTTTTCGGAGCGAGTTACTATGCAGAGAATCTAGCATTCGGAGTTGGAGCACAGAGTAAACAAACTGTCCAGAATAGTGGAGAATGTATTTTTGTTCGTCGCAATCAGCCGACAATTCAGATAAATCAGCTACCTATCCGGAAAGGCACCAGACGGCCGTTTCGCCCTATTGGGGCTCATCAGTGGTGCGCATCCTTCGGTCCTCTGTGGAGGATCGAACCCATGACTGCTAGTGGCTCTTGCCAACTAGCCTGCACCTTATGCAACTGCGCCATGGAGGACGGTATCCGACCATCACGAATTGTTGGCTAAATCCGATATAGCCCGACCCATCCTCTACTGTCATGCAGGCACCTACCATGCAGATGACAGCGGTTGGTCTTCCGGCGTCAGGATTTTCCGGGTTACGGCAGCTATGAATCGACATAGCATTTTGGGGAATCCACTCATAAGTGGAGAAGGTGTTGTCGAGGGAATCCTGAGGGCGGTTTCACAACGTAGTGAACATAGAAGCCAGAACAGTCGCCACTTTTTCTGATGCTATCAGTTGGGTCAGATGGCTAGATCCTGCACCAACTGCACTTTGTACCATTGTTTCTCTCTATCCTGGTCGAGCAGGTAACACGTACCGGCTCTTAGGGTACCTATTGATGGTGCGTCGGTCCGGGCCTTAGTGAACACAGAAGCGGGAATATCCATTAGGAAGAAGCTCACAGGAGTTTTAGTAACACATTCCTCGATGGTGATGTGGACCGTCAGTAGACATCTTTTGACTGTGACGGGCACGCAGCGGTTGCGAATCAAGATAGGAGAAACGCTTATCAGCCATGCTATGCTCATCGTGGCGGAGACAACCGAAGCAGTCATCGGCAACGACATCCTCAAGCAGCTCGGTGCTACAAATGATCTGAGAAACGAGTTGGTAATGGTAGGCAAGGAGACGATTAAGAAGAACACTGGGAGAGCCGACCGGGTAGGTGTTGTCTAGGTCCTGTCTGAATGTCAGAACCCTAAAATATGGAGTGTGCTGAGCAAGTACGCCCACCTATGTACGGACTCAGATGCTAATTACGGATTCTGCATTTGGGTGGAACATTGAATACCACTAATCTCTGGAGGGCAGTGCAAGCCGATCTTCAGGAGAATACGGCGGAATACGCTGACGGAGATATAAAAACAGGTAACAGGCATGGACGAGAATAGAGTCATCAGGCGAACGCACAATCCGTAATAGTCACCCGTGCTACTTACAAGAAAGGCGGACGGTATCTATCGATTTTGCATCGATTTCAGAGAACTGAACAGAGGAACAGTGAAGGATGCGTTTCCGCAGCTCCAGACGGAGGAATTTTCTCCAGCCTTCACAACGCCAAGCAGATATACTTGATAGATTTCCGATCGGGATATTGGCAGATGCCCATCGCAGAGGAACATTGCCACAAGACGGCTTTCAGTGCGAATGGCCAGCAGGGAATTCCGAGAATTCCGTTTCGATTGTGCAACGCCCCAGCTACCTTCAGACGCCTAATACTGGTGGTCCTGGAGAACCTAGAAGGCTTGGTCGTCTATGTGGATGACATCGTCGTCTTCCCCTAGGCAGAGCACGAACATGGTATCCGACTTGCAGCAGTACCACAAAGACTGGGAGTAGTTGGTCTAAAACTCAGTCGCAAGAATTCATGGATTGTTAGGGAGTCGATTGCGTGTCTGGGCCACATTGTGGGCATTGGTCAAGTCCATTCACTTCCGGAGAAACGCGAGACGAGCAAGCGTTTGCAGTGCCAAAATCCAAGCGTCAGCTCCGTTCGTACCAGCAAGTGGTGGCTTATGACTCAAAGTTTGTGCCCCATTTTGCAGAGAGGATGAGCGCGTTATTAAAGCTGCTTCACAAATACTAACCGTTCGTGTGGACAGCCAAAACGCATCAAGATTTAACCACCTACAGGCATGCATACCAGGAGCCTCAACATGTTTACGGTGACCAATCCAGATGAGAGATTCACTGTGGCAGTAGACGCATGCAAGGTGACAATCGGTGCAGTATAGTCCCAACCAGCTGGAGTGGTGGAGGACGCAAGTAGAGTATTGACAGTAGCAGGGCAGGCGTATTGCTCGACTAAAAGAGAATGTCTAGCCATCGTGTAGGACTTGGATAAATGGCGAACTTATCTCCTAGCTACTGAATTCCGGGTGGTCAGTGACCGCACGCCGCTTACATGATTGATGGCAGCGAAAGATCCACGGGGACGCCTTGCGCGGTGGGCATACGGACTGCAAGGATTTAGCTTCACCGTTGAGCACGTAGACGGAAGGTAGAACATACTACCTGATATGTTGTGAGGCCCGTCGTTGGACGTCCTCATGCGAAACAACGCTACACAATCGCTCGCGGTCACAGTGGAGAAGAGGACGCTGCTGGGTGGTCAAAATAAAAATGAATTTCGTAATGGTATTTTGCTCTCACTTACAGGCTGTCACTAAGCCGTAGACGACATCAGAAGAAAGGGAGGAACTCCTTAGGATCTGAGACAGGCTGGGGGTCGAAAAGGATGATGTGGTGGTTGCGGCAGACGGAGGAAAACTAACTGTTGTTCCCCCGAATCTGTCAGAGCGGGTGTTGCGAATAACACATGAAGACGCCCATTTGGCATTCGAAAGATTTTATGTAATGCTACGGAGGATAGTGTTTTGGCCTATCATGAGGAAGGATGTCACAGCATACATCCCAGGACGCCCAAATTGCCAACCAAATCGAGGGGTTGATGTACAGGAACCACCGATGCACTCAATGGAAGTAAATGAGCCACTTCTGTGTTGGGACTGGATGTCTTTGGGCACTTACCAGTGAGTCGCTCAGGAAACAGATAAGTTCAAGTGATAGTCGGCCAGTTCACTTGCCGGGTGGAAGCCATACCAATCAAGGATCAAACAGGCGAGACCGTGTCGCAGACACTCGATTTCAATGTGCCAGCGAAGTATGGAACATCACCATGTATTATCACCGAACAAGAGCCTTGCTTCGAGTCTAAAGCGTTTAAGGTGATGTTGGACAAGTGGGTCATCCAAAGGCAACGCGCTTCAAGGTACCACCCGCAAACCAACGGAATGACAGAACGGTTCAACCGGGCCATAAAGATGGGGATAAACTGCACGAAAATGGCATGGGAGGAATCATTGCCTGAAGTGCTGCATACCTACCTGACCAGCATAAAGTTGACCATCAAGGTTTCGCCATACGAATTACAACTTGGCCGAAAACCACGGATTTTACTTGATACGTGCTTGGTGTAACCGAATGTGGGGAACATCCGGCACTGCATCAAGAACGACGGCAAGCGATTGCTAGTAGAGGAACCAAAGCCCGACAAGCACGCTTTGAGAAGAACTATGGTGCCAGGCACAAGGCCCACAAGTGGACGCTGTTCATGATTGGTGAACAATTCAAGGCTCGATACAACGATCGGCCAGACCATGAAGGGCCAGGTGCAGCAAGTTCAGGGAACGCTGTAAGGCCCCCTATGTCGTACTCGATAGGAAGGGAGCAGACTTCCAAGTCGACAGCGGAGGAACGAGGACGACTGTATCATCATTTTTGACCTGGAAAACGCAGAGCCTCTAACGTGGGGGAATAAAAAGCACGCAAGTGAATTCGTAGAATCATGGCAATCAACTAGTGCAAAACTGCAGGCAACGAAACCTCAGCACTGAAGAGGACACCATACTAGCAGACCAAGCAACATTTTCAGCTGTGGAGAAAGACGGGCCATGGTCACTGTATCAAAGCTACGAAGCCTAAACTAATTATGTAGTACGAAACCAAATTAGAAACTATTTACAAATAAACCTATATATAATAGTTCAATAGTGTATGATGGGATAAAAAGCATTGGCTTTACAAAATCCATAGGACGGTAAATGCAAAATAGATAAAAATCATTAGATTCGACATGCAACTGAAATGCCAATAGTCTAAACTTGTTGTGGGTTGTTGGTGTTGATTGTGTTGGGGTGGGGGTGTGGGTGGGGTGGGGGTGGTGTGGGGTGGTGGGGTGGGGGTGGGTTTTGTTGTGGGGGTTTGTTGTGTGTTTGGGTTGGGTTGGGAGTTTGCCGATAGCGGAGTATGGATCATAACGCCATCACAATGAAGCGCCACAAGACGGCTTTCAGTGTGAAGAGCCAGCAGTATGCATATCTGGAAATTTCCGTTGGAGTGTGTAAACACCACACCAGCTACATTCACGCCTAATAATGATGTCCTGGAAACGAGAAGACTTGGGGTCGGGGGGGGGGGCGGGGTGGGGGGGGGTGGGGGGGGGGGGGGGGGGGGGGGGGGGGGGGGGGGGGGGGGGGGGGGGGGGGGGGGGGGGGGGGGGGGGGGGGGTGGGGGGGGGGGGGGGCGGGGGGCGGGGGGGGGTGCTTAGATCCTCTACGAGCTCGTCCATGTGGGGGGGGAGGGGGGGGGGGGGGGGGGGGGGGGGGCGGGGGGGGGGGGGGGTTGTCTATAGTGATGATATCATCGTCTTCCCCGAGACAGAGCACGAACATAGTATCCGACTTGCTGCTGTACCACAAAGACTGGAAGAAGCTGGTATAAAACTCAGTCACAAGAATTCATAGATTGTTATGGAGTGGATTGTGTGTCGGGGTCACATTGTGGGCATTGGTCAAGTTCATCCGCTTCCGCAGAAACGCGAGACGATCAGGAGCTTTGCAGTGCCAAAATCCAAGCGTCAGCTCCGTTCGTTCCTGGAAGTGGTGGCTTATGACTCAAAGTTTGTGCCCCATTTTGCAGAGACGATGAGCACGTTGTTAAATCTGCTTCACAAATACGAACCGTTCGTGTGGACAGCCAGAACGGATCAAGATTTAACCACCTACGGGCATGCATACCAGGAGCCTCAACATGTTTAAGGTTACCCAATCCAGATGAGAGATTCACTGTGGCAGTAGACGCATGCATGGTGGCAATCGGTGTTGTATAGTCCCAACCAGCTGGAGTGGTAGAAGATGCAACTAGAGTATTAACAGTAGCAGGGCAGGCGTATTCCTCGACTAAAAGAGAATGTCCAGCCATCGTGTGGGACTTGGATAAATGGAGAACTTATCTCCTAGCTACTGAATTCCGAGTGGTCAGTGACCACAAGCCGCTTTCATAGTTGATGGCAGCGAAAGATCCACGGGGACATGTTGCGCGGTGGGTATACCGACTGCAAGAATTTAGCTTCGCCGTTGAGCACGTAAACAGAACGTAGTACATACTACCTGATATGTTGTGAGGCCCGTCGTTGGAGGTCTCCATGCGAGACAAAGCTACACAAATGCGCGCGGTCACAGTGGAGGAGAGGACGCTGCTGGGTGATCAAAGTACAGATGAATTTCGTGATGGTATTTTGCTCTCACTTACAGGCTGTCACTAAGCTGGAGATGACATCAGAAGAAAGGGAGGAACTCCTTAGGATCTGCGACAGGCTGGGGGTCGAAAATGATAATGTGGTGGTTGCGGCAGACGGAGGAAAATTACCTTTTGTTCCCCCGAATCTCCCAGAGCGGGTGTTGCGAATAACTCATGAAGACGCTCATTTGGCATTCAAAAGATTTTATGTAATGCTACGGAGGAGAGTGTTTTGACCTATCAAGAAGAAGGACGTCGCAGCATGCATCTGAGGATGCCCAAATTGCCAACCAAGTCGAGGGGTTGATGTACAGGGACCACCGATGCACTCGATGGAAGTAAATGAGCCACTCCTATGTTGGGACTGGATGTCTTTGAGCACTTACCAGTGACGTCAAGTTTCGAAAGATAAACAAAACACGAAGCACCCGAATGCCGCATTTACAGCTGAAGAAGAAAACCAACACAACCAAATGAATTTTTGGACGCAAGTCTTATCAAAGAACCGATGGATCAATTCCAAAGAAAAAGTATACAGAAGCCATTATTGTGGACTGGACAATACGTATGAACTTTCATTTGTTTCGGCCCACTCAAGCCAAAGAAAGATACGCTGTACAGCGAAACGGGGAACACGCTATACCGATCGGGGCAACTTATTAGAACACATCTGCAGCTGATGAGGGCTACACTACTAACATGAAAAGCCGATCTCGCTACGAGACTCAAATGAGGCGCGTTCGCTGAAAATGGGATATCTCGGGAGTCGAGTTTAGTCGAGACCCATATGAAGCGATGTAATACCAAAAGTTACTCCAAAACAAATCGTTGAAAAATAAAACAGCTTTACTTGACACTTCCATTCAAAGGAAATAGTGCGGCTGAAAACATGCACACGCCGACTACAGCAAGAGCTGCAAAAAGAGCTTTAATGCGGCTCAACTGAATGTGATTTTCACGAGCAAACCTTTACTAGTTCCGAGATTCAAAGACCGAGTGCCTGATCATCTCCAATCGATGTTAATCTACCGGTTCACCTGCCCTTGCGGGGCTAGGTACGTTGGACGGACGACCAGGCATCTAGGTAAGAGAATTAAGGAACACCTGCCAGGTTGGCTCTACACGCGCGAGAATAGAACAAACTACAGTGCGATTACAAACCATCTAATAAACACAGGTCACCAGATAGACAAACGAACAGCCTTTCAAATTCTCTACAAAATACCATCAAGACAAAATCATCGTCTAAGAGCAAGCCTACTCGCCACCGCTGAGGCAATATGCATACGTCTAACAAATCCGAACTTGTGTGTTCAGAAGAAACTAATACAAACACTACACTTTTCCCTGGCCCGACCACCAGCCGTGAAGAAGTAAGGGTTACTCCGCATATTCACCTGACCTCAGGTCACGTGTTCATGAATGAGAGGCCATCACCGATCACAAGTTAAATTGTTCTAATCAATTGTTTCTCTTTGTTACGACAACCGATTTCAGCAGACGTTAGATAAAGAATGTATATTACTGTATAGCCTGATGAAGAAGTAATCGAAAACAATTGTTTGCTCAAAGCTTCGTGTTATGTTTATCTTTCGAAACTTGACGTAACAAATGGGCAGTCTACTGAATTGAACTGTACCAGGTGGTCGCTCAGAAAACAGATAAGTTCAAGTGATAGTCGACCAGTTCACTTGCTGGGTGGAAGCCATACCAATCAAGGATCAAACAGGCGAGACCGTGTCGCAGACACTCGATTTCAATGTGCCAGCGAAGTATGGAACACCACAATGTATTATCACCGAGCAAGAGCCCTGATTCGAGTCTAAAGCCTTTAAGGCGATGTTGGACAAGTGGGGCATCCAAAGGCGACGCGCTTCAACGTACCACCGGCAGGCCAACGGAATGACAGAATGGTTCAACCGGACCATGAAGATGGGGATAAACTGCACGAAATTGGCATGGGAAGAATCGTCGCCTGAAGTGCTGCATACGTACCGGACCAGCATAAAGTCGACCATCAAGGTTTCGCCATTCGAATTACAACTTGGCCGAAAACCACGGATTTTACTCGATACGTGCTTGGTGTAACCGAATGAGGCGAACATCCGGCACTGCATCAAGCACGACGGCAAGCGATTGCTAATAGAGGAACCAAAGCCCGACAAGCTCGCTTTGAGAGGAACTACGGCGCCAGGCACGAAGCCCACAAGTGGACGCCGTTCATGATTGGTGAACAATACAAGGTTCGATCCAACGATCGGCCAGACCGGGAAGGGCCAGGTGCGAGCAAGTTCAGGGAAAGCTGTAAGGCCCCTATGTCGTACTCGATAGGGAAGGAGCAGACTTCCAAGTCGACATCGGAGGAACGAGGACGATATGTATCATCATTTTTGACCTGGAAGACGTAAAGCCTCTAACGTGCGGGAATAAGAAGCACGCAAGTGAATTCATAGAATCATGGCAATCAACGAGTGCAAAGCTACGGCAACGAACCATCAGCACTGAAGAAGACACCATACTAACAGCCCAAGCAACATTTTCAGCTGTGGAGGAAGACGGGCCATGGTCGCTGTATCAAAGATACGAAGCCTAAACTAAGCACGTCGTACGAAACCAAATTAGAAACTAGGTACAAATAAACCTAGACTTAACGCATAGTCTGGGCAGAAGAATAAAACGAATTATCCTGTAACCGTGGTTTCACAAGGCATATTAAATACAGTACATGACTTACGAATAGGTTTTGCAATCGTAGTGCAAAAGGGCAGAAATTGTATAACGTGCGACGGCGTGCGAGTATTTGGGAAGTGTCACGGTAACATAACGTTGCAACCTCAAAGATATGTCAGTGATCAAGAGTGAAAGGAATAATTATACGATGTGGTAACCGACTGAAGGACACAGTAAAGCAACGTAAAATGAGTAGAATAATTAGGGAATAGAGATACCTTGTTCTCATGCAAGCAATCCAGATTGGGGATACATCAAATTTCCTTTTGGACTTCATAATCACGATGCATGGGTCGAAGAGGTGATTCCCAAAGTTTATCTGCCCAAACGATCAATGACGATGACCCATAAAACGCACGCGCGAGACTATCTGTTTCACGCACACTTGCGCCTCGCTGCGCTCCACTACACACTAACGCACTGATAGTGTCAACTCGGATGGTTACGAAGCGATTGAAACAAATTGCAAACAGTTCGTCGAACAAATGAGCAACCTGAGCTAGCCACATTTGCTTCCATGTTGCACTTTGGATTTGGTATATTTTGAAGCGGTATATGAAGAAGTAAGGGAAACTTCTCAGCGTTATTTTCCTAACAAATCACGAATGTGTCGCATAGTGTTTAGATGGGGTGATTACCGCTGTGACAATTACAACATGGTCTGTCCTATATTGCTGTCGTGCGTCGACAAATAGGGAGCACATGCGATGGAGCAATTGGAAACCTACGCAAACATGAAACAACCCCCCACATATCTCAACAGCTGATAACATTTGCACATTATTTGAGCAGCTTTATCTAAAAACGCAAAGAATGCTAGAATAAGTCCAGAATATGAGGCGGTAATTGCCGATAAGTTAACATATCTCCTCCTACTGTCGATGCAACGAACTTTAACAGGGATCAGACAGCAAATTTTCTCACGATGGAGAAACGCAATGGAAGCACTTCGAGCGGTGCATGTACAAGCATCATGAGGCAATCTGTCAGAAAGTATGAAGCTCCATTAGTAGTAACATTGCCAAATTCGCACTCTCGATAGTCGCCTGAGAGAAATATGGGTCCCACATGACAACTCACTGGGGACGGTAGTGTCAAGTGAAGGTCTACAAAAGCATGCAGTATTCCGAACCGCATCGGCGTACGGCCAGATGAGGCGGAAAAGTAAAGATTAGTCGTTCTGAGAGACTACCCCGCATAGAAACAGGCCCCCAAGAGACGGTTCAGCGGATGGCAATATTAACTTAATTTTTCGTTTGCCTGTATTTATCACAGTGAAGTAGTAGAGGGAGTTGAATTATGTAGGTATAAATTTATCATATCTAGACCCAGTCAGACTGCCAACGAACCCTGAACAGCACTGTACGGCCGTTTTATCCTTTCGCGAATCGTCAGCAATTTACATTCTATTTGACCCCTGCGTTGCTCAAACCCGCAACTCGACTGTTGCTAGTGCGTGGATGATACAACTGAGCTACGGGCGACGGTAATGACC